CCATGGTAGGTGGCTGCGACTTAAATAGTGGTAAAAGTCTGAGAGGCCTGACTTTGAAAATAACTCCAAGGTCAGAATAGCATCTTACTGGGCTGAGATGAACTTGGGAAAGTCAACAAATAATTCACCTGGCTTTAAGAAATCCTGGTGTGAGGCTGCCCTTGGCTCATGCTGAGGGCGTCCTGCCTTCTGCTCATATGAAAGTAGCCTCTGGACTAACACTTTCCCTGCCTGAGTGTTTTCCTTGCAGGTTCTAGGTGGGAGGACAACCTAGCGGGGGAGATCACCCCGCCAGTGCAGCAAAGCAATCCGCCTCCACCTGCAGGACCCACAGACCTGGGGACCAGTGGCTTCTTTGGGTTTTTGAGGTAAGACAGACTTCTCTGCTGCCATCAAACTGAGACCCGGGGTGAAGTAGCTCCAGAGTCTGTCTCATTGGGTCTCTCGGGGAAAATAGAGTAGGAAATACAGCAGATTACCTGCAGAATCTGTTTGTCCAGGATAGATGATGAAAATGAGATTGAGCACAAGGCCACTAATTGTGAATTTAATACAAACGGCATCCTGTTCATGTTTACACACCCCACCCGATATGCCTGCATTGGGCCTGGTTCCATAAATCCTGCTTCTCATTGGACTTGGCTCTTTTAGATGATTTGGTTACCAAAACGCTTCCATTCTCCCCTCTGAATCTAGGCTGTGTCTTCAGAGTCCTTTTTGCAGAGGAGTTAGCAAATCCCTTTGTCTATCTAGAACTCAGCCATCCCACTGCAATTCTTTATTTCCCCTGCCTAAGTATAATCTAATTTGGGTACCTTTTCAAATGCTGTTCCAGACTTGAATTTTCACTCTGTGGTTCCCCAGAGCAAAAATGCCCTCGCTAAGGGAGCCCTGATGCGACCTGGGAGAAGAGAAGGGACCGCTGGAGTCTCAAGCTGTTCTGCTTTCTTCCTTGCAGCTCTCTCTTCCCGTTCCGGTATTTCTTCAGAAAGAGCAGCCAGTGAGCCTTCCAGTGCAGCCGTGGGAAGTGTCCTCTGCTTATGACACTCAAGGCATGGGGAATGAGGGCCCCAAACTCCCTGAGTCCTCTTGCTGGTTTGTCCTGTTTCGCCTCTTTCCAATAAAAGTTTTTTCAATTTAAAACTAAGAAAAGAATAGAACTTTCTAAAATGCTCTAGTCAGAATTGTACTGCTCTGAGGTTGAGTTTAGATCTTTCATCTCCAGCACTTAGGATCCTTACGGCAATAAATTATTTATGAACAGTTATTGACTGAGTTGAGTGAAGTAGAGTGTGAGAGAGAGCAAACTCTTTCCTCAAGATACAGAGAAGCAATTCCTGAAACCTCCCCGGGTCTGCCTGGTTCTTGTTGGCAGGATGCTTTGGGTGGGTGCGGTCTATACCTCACTGCAAACTTTAAGTCCCCTGCCAGCGGTTAGGGTCTTGCCAGACTCACTGTCGGGACAGACAGATTAGATTCCTGTTGTATGGCCAGAGAGGATCAAAGTAATTGTGGGAATTCAGGGGAACTCATTTTAGCTGAGGACAAAGGAATAATTTTTTAACTGTTAGAGATGTTTAGTATTAGAATGGACCGCCTTGGGAAGTAATGAGCCCTTGTCACCTCTAGTCTTTAAACAGCTGTTTTATCTGTCAGGTGCTGGGAGGTTCCCAGGATGAGTGGGAACCTTGGGGCTGGACTGCTTGGATCCCATGGAGACTCCTTGTTTTGCTGCCTTCAGCTGGGGTGGGGCGAAGAGAAGAGGTGGGCTGCTGCGAAAGGGCCTGGGACCTGAAGGGGAAGCCGGCGGGTGTCAGGACTGGAGGACTAGGGACAAGTTGCATTTACAGCCTTTGCCCTATTGTCCCAAGCTCAGCCTGCTTCCCAAAGCTGCCGAGAGGCACAATCCGGAATCTGGAGACCTGAGTGCGTCCGACTGACTAGCTTACAGTGAAGCCTTTGCAGAGTCGCTTTCTCTCTGGTTCTTATTTTCTCATCTGAAAAATGAAGGGGTAGGATTTGATGAGCTCTCAAGTGCCTTCCAGCTCTGGCGGTCCCTGCAGCTGGCTCTGCTTTCTGAGCAGGACCCTGAGGCAGTGGCCCTGGGGGTGGGGAGCCAATCACCTGATTTCCCCCCACTCAAGCCCCTGCAGCTACTGGTGGCCAGGGGGTC